CCCCCCCCCCCTCATCTTTGGCAACTTCCCAATCACACAATACAATGCTGCAATCTAAAGAATGTACACTTTTATGAACTTTTAGATATATATAAGACTCAGAAACCCAACAGCACCAAAGAATATATGGTGGCCGGAATGTAGGGTACTCTTAAGATCAACTCCTAAGGGTTTTGTACAAAAAAAGGACAGAAAGAGTGTGTTTGTGGGCTGGTTACCCTTCAACTGCCTGCCTTATTCTCATTAGGATGGCAGTTCAAGTCCAACTGTCCCTTGCTAGTAGTACTGCTGCGATCCCGGTTTGGATAGGGATCACCACCGTTCTCTGGACAGTTCATCTGTCCCACCAAACACGGTTCGTCAACAGAAACACGACCAAGAGTCCCATCCTTCGCCTGCGCAGTCTCTGCCCCACGTTCTGTTGGTTTCTTCTTCTTACGCTGCATGAGGGTTTTGAACCGGCGTCTCACGGTCAAGCACACGTTGCACTTACACGCGGGGTCATGTTTGCCCTTCCCACTCGGAGGCTGAATGCACACAATGCAGGTGCAGCCGGGGCGGTGCCGAGGATGTTTCGTGGTACAAGGTGGTTCCTCTGTCCCACCCAAGTTGTTGCTGTTGCTGCTGCTGTCTCTTAAAGATGGTTCACCACAACCACTGCTTAGCCTCTTGGTTTCTTCTACGATGAAAAAAATTGGGGAGGGGTAATTCTAACAAGCATTAAATTTCACTCATTCTTATGGAATGAAGTGTGGGAAACCAATTAGTGGGGAGGAGAGGGTAGGGAGTGATACATAAACATAATGAATAATTTGAGATCACAATGCATTGTATGTAATTCATACCCTTGTTGCTATCTCTAAGGAATGGATCAAGTTCTTTTCGGTTCATCTCACTTGAGGCAGAACACGAACATCTGGAGCACATGTTCATACAGTGAGACGAAGGAGATATAAACCCATATAACAAAGCCTTAACATATTTATTACTCCATCCATCCAAAAAAATGTCTTTGTTTCAACTAGATACAATTTTGGTAAAGTACCAATTCTACGATGATTTTTATACTTATTTGTTTCTTTTACCTAAGTGTAACTTACTTAAACTTTTTGGAAAATTTGTTGGGAAGTTTTACAGTGAATTAAATGGAAATTAGCTTCTTTGATTGGAAATTTGAAATAGAATGTTTTTTGGGGACAAAAAAAGTTCTGAAACAGTACAGTCTTTTAAGAGGGAGTCGATGTTAAAGGTTACGGTCAGAAAGGTATGGACCTGTTTGAGTCCCAAATATTATCTGAACATGTCCAATTTGAGGGTAGGAGATCGTGCACAGGCAGCCTACGCCATTTGGAGCAATTGTCACATTGCGCCCATTGTCCCTGCTCCCTACATAAGATGTAATGTATGTCAGCATGGAAAGGCGAATACGAGCCCATTGAGCCCAGAGAGATTTTTTAAAATACGTAGTATAATTTGTAATACTTGAACCAAAAATTTCCTTACCCAGATGATGGAGTAGTGAACACTGTCCTCTTTCCTAAAACTGGTGGCTCCTAGATCGCAAGAATGATTATGTTCTTCCAATTAGTGACGTATGAGGGGTATCAGGAGGCAAGAATATGCTGTTAGATTAACCCTAAAGAGATTTGACTTACTCACTTACATCATATTCTTCAAATTCACAGTCTTCGATCATGATTATGGTTGGATTCACATTTGGAGGTGGGCAGAGCAAATTTTGCGCTTCTTCCCAAGTGATCTTCAGCTCCATAGCATCTTCTGTGTGTATCAGGAGCCTCTTGTTTTTGCAGCCTATGTTCCGGATCTTCTTCTTCTCTGGAACAATCCCATTCCTTTGCAAGAAATTGTCAGTTTCGTTGCCTCCATCCTTCTCATGTTTTGGCATCTATTAGCATTCCGGTTAGACAACTTCTTTATATACAATAGAAGATACTCCCAAAAAAGACTCACGTTTCAAAACATTTCTTTGTCCCAAAAAGAGTCATATTTCAACAAAAGAAGCTACTTTTCATTGAAATTAATGTAATTTTGCAAAAATTGTTCCAAACAGGTTAAATATGTTAGATTCAGTTTAATAACAAAAAGAATTGTAAAGACATGTGTAGAATTGGTAGTTTACAAGAGTTGTAACTTACCAAAATTTAAAACATATACTTTGATGAAACAAGACTCTATTTTTGCGGGACAAATAGAGTAATAAAGAAAAGGATGACTGGTAGAAGATTACACACAGCTTGGTTGTCAGTGGCACCAAAAAGTGGAGTTTCGGTAGAACAGATGCTATTGGAAATGACTGGATTTTTAGAATCCTGTTTGTAATAAAAAACACATTAGTATGATGCTAAAGAGTGAAAAGACTGCTGTGAGAGAGAGAGAGAGAGAGAGAGAGACCAATAAGGAAGTTTGAAGCCCAACGGGTGCTACAGCATTAATAATCACTGCCTTCCGGAAACCCATAAATAGTTTCCCGGCAGGATCTATTCGACTGAAAGTAACTTTTGGAATAAGAAGATTAGGATTTAGATTTGATAAATCAAATATATAAGAATAACAACAATACACTCTCACCAAATAGAGGAATGAAGAAATCAAATTGTTTTGTTAGGCACACTTCTCTCTGTTGTGTTTCACAAAATATTTGGGCATGCTTTACTAGTGTTTGTACTCCATATGCATAACACTGTCTACTTTTACCTCTTAATGGTTAGGGTCACGGGTATAGGAGAGAAATAAATATAGGGGTTTGATCATTTGGTTAGAAGATAAATGAGGACAAGAGAAATGAAAGTGGTGGCTTCCAACTCCTTATTTCATCTTCTTGTGGAGATATGAGAGAAAAGAATCTCCACTTCCGTGCTAGGTTGTTGGGGTTGGCTATACTGACACTTTCCCCCTGGTGGCTAAAACAGCTTCAATTGGACATTAAAAATGTATTGCATATAAATCTTGAGGAAGAAGTCTGTAAATTGAAACGCTCCCTCTATGGTTTGAACCTCTCATTGTGCTTGGATTGGAAGATTTAGTGTACTAGTTCTAAATTTTGGAGTGGCCTGGTGCTAGGTTGATTGTTGTGTTTTTCAAACATTGCAATGGTAAAAGCATACATCTCGTTGAATGTAAAGATGACACCATGATCACTGGAGATGTTGATGAAATATATCTTGGTTATAACAACACCTATAGAAGCAGCATTTTGAGAACAGAGATATTGCCAAGCTCAAGTAATTTCCTTGGGATTGAGGTCGCAAAATCCCCACTGCATATGTTGAAAAGAGCAGGTATATTAGATTGCAAACCAATTGATGCCTATGGATCCAGATGTTAACCTCGCCGATCAGGGAATTGAATCCCCCTTCAAAATTGAGATAGATATCGGACTCTCATGAAAAAATTGTTCTACCCAACAGTTATTCACCCCAATATTTCATTTGGAGTTAGTGTTTTGAGTCAATTCTAAGTATCTCCATGTGAAGAAAAGAAAAAAAAGAGAGAGCAGGGGATACCTGTATCACCAGCTTCTAATTGCATATTCTGTATACAGGGTGTAACACCCTCAAGAACATACATCCTGCTGTTGTTATTGGGCCAAAACCTGAATTGAAATGTCCATTCTTTACCTTTAACGTCTTGCATCGTTATGGGCATTCCTTCAGATTGCTCAATATAAGGAAAATACGCCTACAAAGACAAATTACATTGAGTCCTCAGGCAGTGATAGGCGATACAATGAGCACTTCCAGACTATCCCAAAAAACACTATGGTGAAACAGAAAACTTACTTCAGCACATGCTTTTGGGATGACCAGACGACCAATCCGGCCAGCATCACTGGCACTCAGAACCTTTTCGAACAATGGCACTATAGTGGATTTCAAGCTTTAAGTAGGAGTGAAGGTAAAACAGAGCCGAGTAGTAAAAAAAGGAAGATGTTAATTAAATCCAAGATGACCGGATAATTTAATACAGAGCAGAGGGATACTCTCCAGATAACTTCTGCAGCTCTTGGTCTGTAATCCTAGGCCAATATCGTGGCAACATCTGATTCCTACTGCCACGCCCTTCAGTCAGTGGCCTTGCAGAACGCCTTGGGGTAGATATTCCACTTTTTGATTCAAACCTGGAATTTGAACTAGCTTTGGGTGGCTTGGTCAAGATATGGTGTGGTTTCTGCTCTAGTTGAAATGGAGAAACCCCAGAAGAAACAGGTAGTGTCGAGCTCGAAGTGCCCATGGGAGTGCTCATGAAGAAATTTAGAGATGGCTGGTTAAAACATTTGGCAGTTTCTTTTACAGTCCTATTTGATATGCAATTTTCTGGATTTTCAACAAAAGAAGATTTGGGAGATTGCTGGTTGTGATTTGGGATGCACAACCTGACTTCCATGGCAGGGATGATTGACTCCTCCTGACTTATTTTGTCATGGTTTTGAAATTGAAAAAGGTGAACAGGTTCACTTGCATCTGCACCATTTCCAAATTGCAGAAGCCTTCTCTTATCAAAAATATTTTGATCCATTTTATTTTCAAAAAGAATATGCTGTGTATCTGCACTGTTTGTCACACCCAAGATGCCACTAGGAGCATCCTCATTAGGTATCTGCACAAACAGTTATCGAATGATCACATTTTCAAAACATCACGTTTAGGTAAACCCAGTTTTTTGTTGGCATCTGTTAAGATACTCTAAGCGTTGCTTTGCATACATCCTAAGATACCTTAACTTTGCAAAAAGGTTTGGGTTACATGATAAAAAAAAAGGATGCACTCAACAAGAGGCATAAAATCCATTTTATAGTTCATGTCTTAATCCTTTGCTCTTCGCCTCTTGCTTTCCTCCTCTTCATTACTTCCCCTGTTAGGTTTCTTAGAGAGGTAAACGCGGCTAGAAAAAGAAACGAAACTTCACACAGGCTTATCTATCTAAATAGAGGACATTGCTCAATTTCTTACCTTCCCAAGAAAAAAAATATTCATCTACATTCATAACACTCCCTTCGTTCTCTTTTAGTTGTGGATGCACACATATTAAGAAGTAACATATTTTTTCTGAAGTCAAGATAAAAACACTACGATATTACTGGGATACCACTAACAGTGTTTCAAAATATTAGTCGTATATTACATTCGTAAATGGAGAAGAGTAACTTTGAAAAATAAGAAAATAATGCACTCTTGGAATTATAAAGTGAATGATTTGCGGAAGAAACATTTTTCCATAAAGAAACATTTATTATAGAATGGAGAGAGCATTTGTTAAAACATCCATCAGAGCACGTTTTGTTCTTCCCCTTTATCCTAACTACCACTACTACACAAGCCCATTGATATTTTGATCTGATGCATGTCAATAGTCAATAGTCCTCAATACTATTCAAAACCATCTTTGCAATATATTTACCTGTATTGGCATTAAAGTGTGACCTCCCAAACACCTTGTACAGCTTAAACATCCTATGCCTCCAAAGTCCATGTATTCAAACAGATATTGTGATGCAATGCACCCACAGTGAATAGGCTGTCAAGTGATGTCCAGTGAGAGGAAGAAAAAGGATAATAAAGCTGTAGAGTATTTGGTCATGGTTGTAGTCATACTTGCCTTTCTACACATTCTGCATTCCCTCCAACCAGATTCATTCAGGTGGAATGTCTCACAATAAGCTATCTTTTCAAACGCAGATCTGAAGTTCATTCATAATGTAACCAAAACATTCAGAACTTAGACAGAAGTTACAGAGTAAGATAGCAGTTAAGCATCAACACAAGCCACCTGGGCACCAAAACAGGTCTAGCATAACTTATTATATTCTTGTGCTAAAAGAAACCTATGAAATTTAAATTTATCCAGGAAGTTGTTAAAAATTACCATAAATTACCAATGAAACAATCGATTCCAGTAGGATTAACCTATGCCCTTTGGACAAACATCCCAAAAGAACCCTTCACATAGTCAAAATCAAAAGCTTCTACCTCACATTATACTTTCTAAGTTAGCAAAAATAACAAGAATTGATGCAAGAGCTAATTCAGGGATTTAAAATCCCCAGTCCTGAACTGCACTGGGATACAAGCCAATTGAAATAGGGAGAGAGAGAGAGAGAGAGAGAGAGAGAGAGAGAGAGAGGTTACCCGCAGGTGTAACAGAGAGTAGCAAATCCACCGGATTTCAAGCCCCAGCCTTTTTTCCAGTCAGACGACGTCGTGGTGCGGCAGTGCTCGTTCATGCAAAACTTTGACGCCATTCTCCCAGAAAAATCAAACCTTTGAACAGGAGAAAGACTCCATCAACGCTCCAAGAACCCAAAAAGCTCCCAGATCAGTCCAAAACCCTAAACACCCAGATCAAGAATTCAAAACCCAAGCACAACATTGGCCAGATTAATGCGAATAACAGCCCGTACCAAAGATTACTACACAGCTCGCCCTGCTCAACCTGTCGAACGGCTAGCAAAGCCTCGCCAGGAATTCAACCTCTCGTGGCGAAATACTAAGCACGCTCTGAAGGGTCAAAGCAAGTAAACGACGGTATGGCGGCGGGTCTTTCGTAAAGCGCAAATTGTCCGGAAGGGAAATGGTGTGCATGGAAAGCAGAGAGCGATGGCGAAATTAGAGTTAGAGAGAGGGCAGCAGGAGATGCATGCACGACCCTTGAATCCGCAGCACAGGGTCGGTCCATTGAATATATTATTGCTCCACCACGCCTGTGACATTCTTTCTTTCTTTCTCTCTTTTTTTTGAGATTTTCTTTCTTTCTTTTTCTTTCTTACTCCCTTTGAAACTCTTATTATGGACGGATATGATTTTTGTAGTACTCGTATTTGTATAAAAAGGATTACCCAATTGCTAATCTTGGGACCTCGAGCGGTTCTGTAGATTCATTCAATGGGTCAATGGGACATTGGGATGCAAGTTCAAATTTTGGAAAGTTATTGTTTGTACTGCAGGGTAAACACATAGTCAACAAGCCACTATTCTTAGCCCTTTGGCGAGATGAGAAAAATTAAAATTATTGGTACCTAAGTTCTTAAGTTGAACAAAATAATCGACTGGAAAACGACATATGGCGCATATAACTCGATTATTCGTTTGGAAGTCCATACCCAGCAACTCGTAAACGTTCAAGTATTGATACTTTTGATCCTTTCGTTTCCTAGGGAGCGAGTTTATTTGCAAGTGGTCAAGCGGTTAGATTCAAAATGGCTTGACTATTCACTAGAGAGGAGTGTTAGAGTAACCCACATCAAAAATTGAAGGAGAAAGTAATTCACATCTAAGCTCTTGCTTGAGTTGATCGAACAAAGTAATCGATCCGATTCAATCTCTTAATGTAATTTAATTCAAGTGTCTTATGGTCTAATCTAGTGACCATTAACTCATCCTAATTTTATGACAAAATAAGAACATAATATAGACTTTATATCCAAGATAAGAGAGACATATATATATATATACTTATCTTCAAAATAAGATTACTCACCTCAGAATGTGTCACTTTAATGTTTAAATTGTTATTCTACAATGTTTTTGGATATTATAAGATGGAATTATAGGTTCTTTTAAAGGAAACAATATTTTAGTACATATGGGTATAGTATATATTATTATGTATAGGGTAGTTTCTCGATATATGTTGGTTCCCTTTTATACTTCTTTTCTTTTGTAATCAGTTTCCATATAGAGTTTCTAACCAGTGGGATCTTATATATACATAGTCTTTGTTCATATTGTATAGATGAGAATTGAAATACAAGAGAATTTCTCCCAAAATATTATTCTTTCAATTCTGTTTTGAAGACTATATACTTTGATTTTTTCATATGTGATGGAGGATGGGCCTCATTCATGAGTGCACCTCCTGACCTAGCTCGGGACCATAGGTGTGCGGCTTAGTTGAATGGGGGAGGTAAGGTTATTATCCTCGAACAAAAGGGATAAAATCTTGACTATCTGACTTGGACAAAATCTTGACTATCTGACTAACCAATTCTAGAACGACCAGGCGAAGATAGTGTGGGAATGAGTTTATCGTAGAGAATGTGGAGGATGACCAGGTAATAAGTTGTTTACTATTTCTCTATATATGTACGCTATAAATAAGATATTAATTCATCGTACAAGACACGATCAACCAAACAATCAAACTAATGAGATTTGATAGTAGTCATTTTCTCAGGTTTTTCTTATTCATTATTTATGTTTTTATAACTTGATATTCTCGGCTGATCATCAAGTCGGGTTAGTTGGTGGGATTATATTTCATTAATAAATCAGTGCATTCATTGAGAGCTTTAGAGAAACGTTCGAGGTTAACTCCTTCGAACGGAGAAGATGGTGTCGATCAGGAGCAACGCTCATTATGCAACAAGCAACCTTCGAGTGAAGGGAAAAGGCATAAAATAAAATAGTCTTGTCATTAACTTGAGATATTTGAATCAATGTTACATATATATATAAATAAACTATTCCACAAACTTGTGATTATTCTTTTCTTTTCTTTTGAACAATGCTACATACATATGTATAGCAAACATATGTAGCTTCATGTATTTCCTTAATTAGCTTGAGATGCTCATGTGGAGCTTCTCATCTTTGGTATTTTCTTGAGGTCTTCATTATTAAGTTCATCAAAGGTATACTTTTGTATCCAACTTTGTATGATCTTAACTTCCCTTTCTCGTTGCTGAGTTAACCAATCCGGATCTGTTTTGCGTGCCCCTAGCAAGTCCAAACAATGAGATCCTGCATGCACATTAGAGTGTAAAATAGAAAAGTTTTTTCTGAGCATTAATCACAAGTTTAAATTTTTAGTTGAGTTAGCTTCTTGACATAGTATTGGAACTTTGTTGACTAAGAGGTCAATAGTTTGAAAATCACCACCATTAAAATTTTCCAGTGTAAGACTTAATTTAAAGCTCGACCTTTAGAGCACTAAATGGAGATGAGAGTTATTCGAACAAAGTTGAGTTAAATACATAATCTAAACTTGTACGGAGTATAAAGAAGTTTAGAAGTGTTACAACTTTCAATTTTATGAATAAAGCTCCTCAAGTGTTCCAATTGAAATGATGTCATATGGGGTGGTGTCCTCTATATGTAATTAATTCAAACAGCTAATCCGTGTTAGGGACAAATTAAAGGGTGTTTACCATTACGAGTAGAGACTGCAAGTAGAGTATCTGATATGTTGTTTAAGACCCTGCCAATAGAACAAATAAAGCAAAAGCATATTACACTTAGGCTCTGTTAATGGAGCTTCATATATAACTGGATTTGTTAAAGAGGAAAATTATATCATGTTAAAAAAAGGATGATGACGATGATGATGATGATGATGATACGACTAAATTCCTAAAGTTGTCCTTTGTAATAATATGTTTTACCAATTCAGTCATCAAAAATTTTAATTATCTACGTGGTCCTCTATAATTGAGATTTATTTCCTAGATAATCCTTCGTAAATAATATTACTCAAATGATAATTAATTGGGAGTATTTTGATAATTTTATCATCTAAATTTAAAGTATATTCTCGAAACGGTCATTTCTGTACAACTAAATGTAAAATTAAAAAAAAAATACATTGACTATAAATAACTCATGAATTATTAAAAATTTATAAAAACCTTTTAAATTTCGAATCAAGTACACATCTTTAATTAGACTAAACCGTTTTGACAAAATATTTTATTATAAATGATCATTTTAAGAACTGATTCTAAATTTAGCGCATAAAAAAATACCAAAATACCTCCCAATTAATCATCATTTGAGTAACATTATTTACGAATGACTATCTTGAGAATAAATCTCAATTATAGAGGACCACGTATGTAATTAAAACTTATTAATAACTGATTTGGAAAAATATCTTATTACAAATGACCATTTTGGAAATTTACTCTAATAATAATAACACTTTTATCTCCATCTCATTGTATTTGTCATGTTTGACATCTTTGAGTAAAATTAGACAAACTTTGATCTTCGATCACTCTTAATTCATAGTGTATATTAGTATAATAAAATGAAATTTAGAAAGTTCTCAACGAGATAAGTTTAATAAATCATTTTTATACTACATTATAGTTTTTGTTTAAATGAACCTCAAAATTTATCTTGTTTCACTTGAAAAAATCAAACTGGACAAACATACTGAGACAAAGAGACTAATAATAATAATAATAATAATAGTAATAATAATAATAATAATAATAATAATAATAATATGAAATTGTGTGCGTGAGCAATATATATGTTGAGTTACCCTCCAATGCTATATGGGTCTCTTAGCCCGTTGGAGAAAATGATGTTGCTCCCAAACTTGTACAAAGCTTTTCTAATATCCTGCAGTAATAATTTGTCATTTAAATATGAGTAAATTTTCTAAATAATCATTTATAAATGGTGGGTTTCCATATTTAGTCCACATTTATCAAATATTAAGTAGACAGTCCTTATTAATTGGGTATCATTCCACGTTTAGTCTTCCGTCTATTTTTCCATCTACGTGCGTTTAAACAAGGACCAAACGTGGAATGGTACCCAATCAATAAGGACCACGAAAATAAAGAACTTTTTGGAAAATTTGTTTTAAATTATAAAGAACTTTTTGGAAAATTTGTTTTAAACCACTTTTAATATAAAAATTAATAGATAGGAAAAATATATAACTGTAGTTTATTTATAAAAAATCAAAATTTGTATACTACAAAAAAATAGTTTATCAAAAAATTCAATTTTTAATACGAGAATCTGTTCGAAACTGATAGGAATTAAAAAGATATTCGAAGTTATTATCCCTTTTTAATAATGTAAGAACTTCAATTTTTTTATCTCCAAAATATGAGTATAATGCTAATAATGCCAATATATAATATCACTATACAATGTCATTATGTCACAGTGCAAACTCGTATATTGAGAAAAAACATGAAATTCTTATTTTGAGGATAGATGTTACATTTACTCCTATTTTGGATGATTTCAAATTACTTATTAATTCTTATATCTTCTAAGATAATTCTCATATTAAAAAATGAATTTTTTGATAAATTATTTTTAATGATAATTTTGACTTTTTATATACAAACTAAAATCATATACTTTTCATATTTATTACTACCTTCGTCCCAGAGTACTGATTTACTTTTGAGTTTTTTTGTCAAAATCGGCAATCTTTGATCACGAATTAAATAAAATTAATATTAGATATTGATACAAAAATAATTCTATTGGATTTATGTAAATAATTTTATTTAATTATAGGTCAAGTGTTAAAAATGGTTGACTGTAAAAAGTAAAAATTGGACAAAATACTCAAAGACGGAGGTAGTACTTTCAATACTAAAAATGGTTTTAAAAAAATAAACTATCCAAATAGTCCTTTATAAGGAGAGAATTTCCATATTTAGTCCATATTATCAAATATTATTTTTGTGGTCCTTATTTATTGGGTGCCATTCCACGTTTGGTCCTTATCTAACGGCATGGAGACAGAAAAATACACGGATGACTAAACGATACCCAATTAATAAGGACTGTCAATATAATATTTGATAAATGTGAACTAAATATGGAAACCCCCCATATATAAAGGACTATTTAAAGAATTTACTCTTTAAATATATATACAAAATGTTTTATCAATAAATTAAGATGGGGTTATGTTGTACTCCACATTGTACAACCATGCTATGTTCATATACACCGTACTCGCCTGCAGGTTGTACACCCAATGTTTGCACCAACACTTTGATAACTCACATCGATACAAAATGTCAGTGCGAAATATTCCAATCGCACTGATATTTTATATCGTTGTAATCAATCAAAATGTTAAAACAAATTTTTAGTGTACATCAAGGGATGCACAAGTAATATTTTCCAAAAGCTTATTGTAACGGAGACAATATACTTCCTAGATAACTTCGTTCTAAAATTAACTTCCCAGTTTTACAATCATACCAAAAATGTTACGTGCCCTGAAAAGAAGTTTGGAATTAAAAAAGACTTTTTCAAGTACACTTTCAATTCCTCAAATATTGTTTATTCTACTTTGGTGTTGTTGTCCAATGATAAAAAATCGTGTTAGAAATATATTTACTTGATCCAAAAAAATATATTGCATTGATAAAAATTCCGAATCGACAAAAAATTCGTTCGACCCCCGTGCATCGCACAGATCAAAATACTAGTAGAGTCATCATTGAAAACAAAGTTGGTATACCACTGGAGTGAAAACAAAGACAAAAATGAAAATGTTAGATTTAAATGAAAACGGTAACCCTTGCAACTTCACCAAAAAGGTGATATACCCCGAAGTTTTCCAAAAACTTTGGATTTAAATTATACATTTATTCGCATGTTCTTTTTTTATTTATATATAGATAAATTTCGGTTAGCAAATGTTTATGACATATTATTCATTAAGTTCTACAGTTCGATATTATATTTTGCTCGCTTTTTTAAACATTGACTAAGAAGAAAAAAATTGAGTAAAAAAAATATTCGTTCGACCCGTCCATGACACGGGTTAGTATACTAGTATTTTCCAAAAGCTTACTGTGACTGAGACAATAGACTTCCCAGATTACTTTGTTCTAAAATTAACTTTTCAGTTTTACTTTTTCAGTCAAATTTTTTAAATTTTGACCGCATATTACGGGAAAAATACATTCATTTATAATTTCATAAAAATATTTTATCAATATATTCATTTGGAAACATGATTTTGAAATATATTATTTTTATAATATATATTTTTATAAAAATAAAGATATTAATAGTCAAAGTGTAATATTAGAGATAGTAAAAAGCCAAATGAAATATTAATTTTAGAACGGAGGGAGTAATTAATTAGATTAAGGTAAGGTAGTAAGGTACGTACATGTCCACCGTAATAGGTTGTGATCCAATGTGGTCGAGGAGGAACCCCATAATAATCGGTGCATTCCTTGGAGAGTTGTTCCATGTTGAAAGGATCTATAGGGAACATTGACTTCTTGTCTCCCACACCTATAGGTATCACTATTTCACTACATGTCTGTATATACATACATACATCCACGTCACAATTATTATCAACTTACCTACGTAATACTCGTAATAATCAGTTAAATAAATTTAGAAGTACACCAAAATAGGATATCCCAATTGTATATAGACAAACACAGACAAATACAGAAATTTAGTGTCTGAAATCTACAGATACTAAGTGTTTGTGTTTGCTTGATGTACAAATGGAGTACCCTATTTTGGTATACCCCTAGCATGCCCCTAATTAGTTAAGATTATTGTGATCATTAGGAAGATTCAAATAAGAATAATGAAATTTGTAATTAATAGTACTAAAATATATGTCTTTTCTAAAGTTAGTACTTAAACTTTTTTATTTTCTAAATAGTACTTGAATAATGTGTAATATATAGCGGTAACAATGTCCAATGATGTGCGACATTTAGTTTGAACAATGTCTAGTGACGCTAGAAATTTACTTGAATCATGATCCGTGGACATTAAGCGGTGGTATTACCTTGAGGAATAAAAATATACGGTATTACATTGAAAAAATAAATATATTTTAGTATTATACGGAGTATATTTAGGTAAATTCCCCATAAGAATAATATAATAAAAAAAGTACTCTTACTTGCCAACTCCATCCGAAGTCTGTTTGGGTGGAATTAGAGTGGAGATTATAGCAAGATCGGTTTCCTTTGAATGCCACCACGCCGGCGTGAACCCGGTCGAGAATATCCATCCCGCCGCCGTCTATTCCACCGCACACCATTGTCACCGGATACTTTGGTGGCGCGTTGTATTGAGCGGCCCCGGCATACATTATTTGCAAGTAATTCTTTAGCTCCGACGACTTTAAATCCCTATAATACACCATATATAATCATTATTACCTTCACATTTTAGTATTTGTTCCCTTTTTTTTATCGTCAAAATTGATAAATTTTAATTATTAGTTAAATTAAGGGTAAATTCTATAAAAGGTCCTTAGTTATAGGTGGTTTTACACATTTAGTCCCTACATATCAAATATTACTAATTTAGTCCCCAATTATTATATTCATTACTACGAATGGTCCTTTGTTAACATTTCTCTTAAGAACGCGGATAAAATTGTTTATTCATACTTCTCTCTCTCCTGAATTAAGTTTCCTCCCTCTCCTCGCACTACTTTCCCAAACTCGTCGCTGAGTTTGAAGTTTTGAACCCAAAACCGAAATCATCACTCTTCTCTCAATTGTTTGTCTAACTGGTGAAACCTAAATTCTTTACAATTTCTTGAGACTAACCGATAAAACTCATCCATAATTCCATAAAGCTTATTGATTTTTATTTTAGGTTCCACCATGAAGACTAAAAGAAAAACTATTAAATAGGAGTAAATCATGAGATATATCCTCAAAATAAGAGTCTCTAACTTATATACCCAAAATAGGAGTAATTAATAAAATTCCCCACCCCTATCTTGATCGGTCCGCTCCCTTCTTCTCCCAATCCCTAGCCGATCCTTCCCTGTCATTCTTCCTTCTACTTAGGTTGGAGAATTGGAAATACACATTATGTTCAACTTTGGTCATATATGTGCTTTGAAGTTGTCTTTTTTCCCATAATACGTGTGTAAAGATATGACTTTTTTTAAAATCAAAACAAAAGCAAACTTTTATCTTTTCTTCTCACACATTTGTGTTGTGATGTGGCTTTTATAAAACCAAAATAGTTAGGTAATTTTAAATATTGTGTGGAGTAAATTATTAGCATTATTGTTTTTTAGATTGTTGCTGTTGGCATTGTATGTTGGCAAATCGCAGTACTTCTTGACACTTTACAATATTTATGGCATTATATATTGACATATTTAATATTATCAAGTGACATGTTTGTTATTGTACGTTGCAATCTTTAACATTGTTGCTTCGGTTGACATTGTATAGATAATTCTTTTTTACAGTAATTTGTGGCATTATGACACTTAGGCGGCGGCAATTGCAGATCGTTATGGTGTCAGCGGTGATGGAGCAGAATTGGTGGCGTTGGTAGCGACGTGAAAAATCACCGCGAAGGGTACATTGTTGTGTCGAGGCACGGCGGCGACGGGGATCAACAACCCGATTTTTTTGTTTTAGGGATGTACTCAGTAAGTTATTTTTGTTTATTTTTTTATTTTTCCTTTTTATTTTTTTTCTCTTTATGTTGGCCAAAACATAGCCTTGCAAGAAAACACTTACTAATGAGTGTCTTTGATGTCTACCCGCAACAAAACAAGGAGAACGCAGGTTTGTAAACTTTAGGAAATGAATTTAGTTTAATAGGGAGCATTTAAATAACTCCTATTTTGGGGAGTTTTCTTTTCTACTCTTATTTTGGCATATTATCTATGTTTTGCTCCTATTTTGCTCCTTAACCCGAAGACTAATTGAGGAGTTTGGGATCGAGTATGAGAGGAGGGAAGAAGCTTAATTGAGGAGAGAGAAAAGTATGAATTTATAATTTTATCCATATTCTTAACAAAAACATTAACAAAAGACCATTCGTGAAAAATGTTATAATAATTGGGGACTAAATTAGTAATATTTGATATGTACGAACTAAATATGTAAAACAGCGTGTAACTGAGGACCTTTTATAAAATTCACTCTTAAATTAAATTGATACTCCATATATAATGTTCCCTCCGTTCCCTAAAATACTTCTAGTTTCTATTAAAAAACTACTTTTATCCCTATTTTATCATACTCTATCTATCATATCATACTTTTTCACTAATAACCAAACTATTACATTTACTTTTATCCATCACATCAGGAGCACAATTGGAAAGTCAACCAAAATTACACTTTTCTTATTCTAGTCCAAAGTCAAAATGGGAAGGATTTAAAGGAACGCTAGCTATATATTTGAAATTGGAAATTACCAAAATTACACTTTTCTTTTTTCAAAATGAACGCTAGCTAGAGATTTTATTATACTCTCTCGGTACTATAATCTTTTTGGAATCTATATTTCCATATCTGTTGTTTGTTTCAGTATTTTCATTGATTATTTGATAAAATAATATTTTCTTGTCACTTCTTATTTTGTACTCTCTTCATCCCATTAAGTGCTTCTCTTTTCTTTCTTAACTTGGCTCACAAAGTCCTTCATATTTTTATTAAAAAACTAATTTTAATTTGCCCTTATTAATTCTTACCCATGTATCGTATCATACATTTTTATTAATAATTACATATCATATCATATTTTTAGTCATCATATCGAGAATATTTTTTGGAAAGTGAATACAAAAATATTTCTTTTTTAATTTTTCTAAAAATTAAAATGGAAAAGACCTTAAGGGACGGAGAGAGTAGAACTTTTGATGTAAATTATTAATAGAAGAGTTTTATGGTAGACCTAAGATTCAGATGAACCCTCTCACATAGTCACATAGAAGTGTATTTTTTTATTTTAAAAATTTTTATTTCAATATATAGAAAATACTTATTTAGCATATATGAAAGTTCACAGTAAACTTTAAACCCATGTAGTAAATTGTCTTTTTATTAAATTTTCTTAATTATACCCATTTCAAAATAAGTTTATTTTAAAAAATACAGTAAATGAGAAGGGAAGGGGCATATATTTACGTGCAAAGGTTGAACTTGCGAGTTAGGATGGAGAGACCGTTTGGGCTGGAAGCCAATTTGTCAATTGCGGCCCACGATTGTCGTATCCTTTCATAACAAGTTTGACTAACTTTCTGCAATCCAAGTTTATCTCAATCACAAATAATATTTTTTCAACTTAAATTTTGACCATCAATCTAATGAAAGTATGTTCTATATTACTACAAAAATAATCGTTAGATTTATTTTGTGATTTTTTTTTAAACATGTACTTCCTCCGTCCGTCTCATAAAGATGTTTCCATTATGACTTTTAAAAAATTTAAGAAAATGATATTTTTGTGTTGACTTTTCAAAATATCTTTGATATGATGGGAAAAAGTAGGATGTGATGGATAGATTATTAGTAAAAAAGTATGATGTCATAGGTAGGTTAAGAATTAGAAGAGACAAATAGTTTTTTTATTGGGAAAAGGGAAGGAGTTTATGGAATAAGAAAAAAAGAAAGAAGAAAGATTTTTTGGGACGGTGGGAGTACATCGTATTTCATTGTATTAGTATACTTCTACCGTCCTAAAATTCCTTTCATGTTTCAACTTTTATAGAATTTAAATGAGAGATATTTTTTATTTAACCTTTCAAAAAAATCTTTGTTGTTATGAGTAAATTTGGACAGATGAATAGATTATTAGAGAATAAATATGATGTGATCGGCAAAACAAGAATTAATAATGGCAAAAATGGTTTTTTAATAGGTTTTGTTAGGGGTACACGCACCAACATATGTAACTGCATAGAAAATTGATGTCTGTGCGTGTGTCTGTGACAAGCGTGGTGTATAAATGGTACAGTGTACAAATGGTGGTGCATCCTTAGATTTTTTATTTTCTAATAGAAATGAGAGAGACATTTTGGGACAAAAAAATGAAAAAAAAAATTGGGACGGAGGGAGTATATATACTCCCTCCGTCCTAAATTATAATGCATGTTCACTATTCATAGGGTCGAATTTCATTCACTTTTTTTCTCTATTTTCGTTAGCAATTTGATAAAATAAAGTACTATTGTCACTACTAGTTTTGTAGACCTTTTCATGTATTATTTTAATATGTAATTTTTATTTTTTAACTATATATCATTTGTAATATAAAATGATTTGAAAATAATTTCAGTCAAACATCGTAAACCGAAACAGGCGTTATAAAACGGGACGGAGGGAGTATAACACAAATTTAAAATTTATAGGCCAGGTATAAATTATACTCCGTAACACATATGGAGTAGTAGTAAATATTATTACAAAATTAAAGTAAATAAATTTATTTTTTAACATTAAAATACAAGTATAAAATTATAAATGTGTAAAAAAATTGATGGCTTGTATTATTCAAGTTATTTTTATTGGAATCGGATCAGATAAAAAAAGCTTTAAATACAACTATAATCATATCAGATCAAATCAAAATAAGCCTGCAATATAGGATGGTTATAGTATACCTTGAAATCATTGGTGACAATGGAATAGTAACCATCTTGTGGTGTAATGTTGTCAAAGTAGAGAATGGGAGCTGAAGAAGCTAACGCACCCATTGCAACATGCGGATACTTCATTCTAAACCAAGCTGCCAGCACTGTGATAATATCCATCCAATTTTTTTAAAAAAAAAAATTATTTTGAAACAATATATAAATTATAAACATCTTATAAGTCTAAATTAAATTAAATTAAATTAATTAATTATTCCAGAAATTAATTTTATATCCACAATACAAATATAATTAATTAAACGTTCGTACTTACTTCCACCATAAGAGCCTCCAATCACAACAATGGGAGATTTTGTGGCGTTGAATTGTTTCTTAATGTGTAGCAAAACTTGAGCATAATCCGCTAAGGCTTGACCTGAATTGAAAAACCCACGGGTTGTCTTGTTTCTCATCGCATCTTCCATTTTCCCCATTGGAATCGATTCCCCATAAAACCTATGCTGATTTTTTAACAAACTTTTTTTAAAAATTAATTTAGGCCAAAAGAAGAAGAAGAAGAAGCAATGAGACTAATGTCATGGGATGACTCAAAGATCCTACAGTGTTTCGTTCGAAAAATTAACGGTTTCTACCCCGAATAAACCCACCCACCCTGACTCGAACAAAACCCACCCCCTCCCAGATTTTGTTGACTTTGTAGTCAAAATTTGACTCCAAAGTTTGCAAATTTTAGGAGTTGCAATTGAAGGGAATGAGGGGTGGGTTCGGGTCAGGTTGGAATAGGTGGGTTTATCGAGAGGCTTAGAAAGGTCAGGAATCGTCATTTTTCTTTAACAAAACACTATAGGGCATTCGGGTCATAAGCATTAAGCAATGTCATGAGAACCACCCCATCGGGTAATTTTTAAGTTACCTCTATATAGACGAGGAGGGCCTTGAAAGTAGGGGCGATGTCGGTGAGAAATCCGGCGGTGAGAGGTGTTAGTTCCATGGTGTTGGCTAATCTTTTGGCAAAATAGAATCCCATATATTATAGATGTTTTACTAGGTAGAAACCTCTATTTGCTAGGAGAGGTTTATTTTATTTAGACTTCCAGAGTTGCTGCAGTTTTCGAGGTTGACACAGAAGATGCTACAACACGATGCTGCAACACACTGTTCGGGATCAGAGGTCTGAGCACGGGATTTTAAGCTGCAATCTGAATTAGAGACCTATTGGGATTGTGATTACATGATAATAACTCCAATTGTACATGCTAAGGAATCCCAACTCTTTAGGCTACTTGTGGATCAAGATTAAGGAAGTAGAGTTCAAGCCAACTTCTACTATCCTATTCCTACTAGGATTGGGTTAAGAGAGGCCTATAAAAACGCAGCAGGTCCCTGGGAATTACTGGGAGCGATTGAGAGAGAAAACAAAGAATATATGCTGATGTAGAGCATTCCCGTCGCATCCCGGAGCTTCCCGTGCGTGAAGAAGGTCACGATCTACATGAAGGAGGAGATCTTCAACGCCAAACAGATCGTGATGTCCAGAAGATGAACCAGAGCTTAAGGAGAGGGCTGCCAACACGTTTGTCCTCGTGATCTCGGTGGAGATGTGATAGCCGAAGCGCATCTGAACAGAGTTCGGGTTAGAAATCCTAGATTAGAAGTTTTGTCATAACAATTCGGAGAAGGGTGTCTCATCATGTTGTTATGTACCGGTATAACTTGCATCTAGTGATTTAGTGGAGGGCTATTACACGGACGTGGACCCCGCAGATTAGGAGAATTTGCTCCGAACTGCGTAAACATATCTGGTGTCATTTTTTACGCATTTTATAGTTACAGCATTCTGCCCAGTAGACGCTGTAACGCTCTCTGCATCATCTGCTTCTGTGTGCGTGCTTGTGACAGAAAAGTGTTAGAGCACACTGTCCGTCATCTGTTACTGTGACAGTGATGCAGCATCTTCTCTGCAGCATAGTTGATTGTTTTTGTTTGCATAGCTTGTGTTTGGTGTTATCCGCTGCGCCCCCACGAACTAACAAGAGGGTCGTCGTCGATGGGAGCCTCCGCGCCCAGCCACGCAAAGATGGGAGCGGCGCCGCCGGCCCAATGGTTGGAATTGACAATGTACCTGTGGCGGAAGGTGTCGTAGCTATTAGGCGCATAGTTGAAGTGATCCAGCGTCTGGTTGAAGAAATAAGTTTTGAAATCAGGGGGGAGAACTCGGAATCCCGCGTTCGGTTCGTAGCTTGAGACGATGGAGTCGTAGAACGGAGTGAGCCTCGGAGTTTTGGGGGGTCCGGAATGGCATGTTTTTTAGAATAGCATTAGAAGAAGAAGAAGAAAAGAGGTGAATTGAGTTAGATGCCTCGTGGTAGAGTGGGGCTTCATCTCCATTGCAACCAAAGCTTTGTTTCTTTAATTTTTCGTATGTAGTTGTAAATGTATGTATCATCATGCATATATCAATCTATTTATATAGTGAAATTAAGGGAGTAATTTAACGTTTTTACCTAGTAGATAAAGAATTCACCCTTATAGAATTGAAGTAAAACATACGGAGTTTATTTCCAAAATAGAAATGACATGTTTTTAGTATTCAAAATAAGATTTTGTACGGTGACTACGTGAGACTGTATATTACTCCCTTCGTCACATTTGAATATTTCAGGTCTGCATTACGATACTTGACTGATTTTATTTTCAATTCAATTTATTTAATTGAAGGCGTAAACTTAAAATTTATATATTTAAAAATAACATGATTAAAAGATCAAGAAAACAAGATGTGGATGACTATATTATTTTAACAAATTAGCAACGAAAATAAGGAAACAAAATATTCAATTTGATCAGATGAATAATGTACGAGAAGATTCAAGTGTGGGAGAGAGAGCATATCATTCAATAGTACTCCCTCTGACTTCCGTCCCAAAATGTAAGCAATAGTTACCATTTCGTCGTCACAATGATTTTTATTTGTTTACTCGTTTTAGTTAACCATTTGATAAAATATACTTGTCGCATCTTGGTTTGTAGGACTTTTGATCGAACAATGTAATTTTTATTTTCTTTTATTTCCCTACCAATTCGTAATAACATGATTTTAAAAGAGATAATATTCCGCATATCGTTCGAAATGTTGTTTAAATTTTGAGACGGAGTGAATATTTTTTATTTTGGTATTATATGTTGATATATAAACTCAAATGTGCGGTTGAACTTCATGTTCCACCGTGTATCCTTTGAGGGAAGGTGTACGTATGAAGTCAAATTTACTTGTATAGATGCTATGTATAACTATATAGTTTGCCTTAATTCCTGTGTAATTCCACACACGGGTAATTATTTTGACATGGTATAATTGGCACTACTACGAGTACAACACCATTATATACACATGCAAATGTATATGAATTAAAGTATTTGTACCCAAAAATTATACTCTACTTTGTACTTTAAAAGAACTAGTACATCACCCGTGCGATGCACGGACAGATAAACGATGCTTCAGAAATCATAAAATTTATTAAATTTTAAATAGAATTACTAACATAAAAATGTGTATTAAAAATAGACTACATGCAATACCTACTATTATAATGAGGTAAACTGGGTGTTGGGATGAACTTCGCTTGTTTGAATAATGTTATTTAGTTAATAAGACAATTATTTAAAAAAAAACTACAAAAGATTTGTGATAAAAAAATTGAAAATTATTTTAACAGTAACAAATACTACGTAGTTAACATATACTCCGTAAATAGCATTATACTCTTCCACTCTCAGCCCGCCCAAATGAGTGTGATGCATCGGCCCAGTCCAACATTCAGTCAAGTCCAGTCCAACTTAAAATTCTTTCTCCTTCCGCCGCAGTTATCCTGACCATATCTTCTGCCTTCTCCTATCTCCTACTTTTTTCTCAACCCTCCAAATTTCTATAGTAATACCGGTTTGTGCTACGATGGAGTTCACCTCCTACGTTGCTTACGTGTACGTTTTGGTTCTCTCTCTTGTATCCATCTGTTTCTGTTTCATTTCTTTTTTTTTTATTTTTTTCGTAATTCTTTTGGCTTCTTATCACACACTGAAGAAATCGAATGTCATCCACTTATTCAAAACAAATGGATGATGTATTCTCATTTTTAAGATGAGACGGTCTCCGATGATAGACCAATTTTTTACATATTATGATTTTTATTTCAAGTCTCATTAAATCTCAGAAATAGGATTATTTATATGTTTTGTTTTTTAGGACAATCTTTTCTCCATGATTTTTGATAATTTTTGGGGTTCATATAAGATTTAGATGTTTTTATTAGATCTCTTTAAAAAGAGCTTATCTGCTTCGATTCGAATCACGAAGAATTTGTTCACAGATCCATGCATGCATGTTCAGATTTGTAATTTGACAACGAATGCATGATGTTAAAAATCATGTGTAATAGAGGAGGTCTCCGATGATAGACCTGATATACTGATGGTATTTTATGTTAAGTGTTTAAACTTGTTTTACAATATTGAAGGACTTTCTAAATTCTTTTAGGATTTAGATGAAAATCTGAATTTACTTCATAAATATTGTGGTTGGTAGTAATATTCATGAATATTTAAAACAACAATCTCTCAGTGAAATTGTTTTCCTGTTAATTTTTAGTTATACAGCTTTTAATCTAAATATTCTACTCCATTTATTTTATAAACAAAGAAAGCAATAACCTTAAGCTTAAAACTGCAATTATATATATATAATATTTTCAAAACCTGGTATCTAATCTGGTTATGTCTGGCATTTTATCTATATTCTGATCACAATGGATCAAAGTTAGACAAATGTACCATGACCATAAGGCTTTTATTTCTTACAGGAGGATTTTATTTAAAATGAAGTGAAGTAAATTATGTAAGTCATTTCATATATAGTTCATTCAATTTTTTTAAGTATAATGTGTACAAAACAAAGTCATAGAATAATTAAACAACTGAATTCTTTTACTTGTTATTTCAGGTTTGATATTTTGTAAAGAAGCTGCTTGTGATGCAAGTAAGTATAATTAAAAATTACTATGTTTCATTAATTAGAATATAATATCTAAACTAAGTATATTAACTAACAGTAAGTCTTTCATGTTTCCCAGATATATCTCATGCAATGAAGTTAGGACAGGTAAGTAAATTAGTTAAATTACTTAAATTACTATCTCATGCAAGTCTTTCAATGAAGTACTTAAATTACTTAATATACATGTATTGAATGAAATCCTCATTAAGGTTGGCATGGTTTTCTGTAATATGATGCCTATATTTTTCATCAGTTCAAGACATACTAAATGCATAAAACCATCTAAATTTATATCTGTTAAATATATATACACTAACTGAACTGTGTTTACTAAATAAAAGTCATAAAAATAATAGAGTATGTGAAGTGGAGTGTGTTCACCTGTGTTTGTATGAAGTGCAGTGAGCTCTTCATTTCAGTTTCCAAATATAAATAAATTTATCACTAGAGGAAGAAAGATATCTACTTTATATATGGAACACCACTCATAGGTTATATATATGTATTGAAATAAACATACAGAAAGGCCTGTCCACCACTGGTAATTATTTAAATATACTTAGAAGTTTATGTCAAGGAGATATTCATGTTTAAGCCATACAAATCAATAAGTCCAAAACATTTTTTGGTCATGTGACCCTAGGAAGTTGATACATTAAAGGACTTCATTTTTTGATGGTTTTATTGTGGATATTTAAAATGAGGTATTTACTTTAAAACATTTAAACCTTAAATGACTGCAGTTCTAATATGCTTTTAAAGTACTTTAAAATTTTTTAAACTCAGTGATTTGGTCAGGACTTTGAGTGTGAACTACCTTTTTTAACTTTGCACATTTGAATGATTTCAGATTTTGATGGTTTATTGTGGAGTTGTTAAATGAGGAGGTTTTTAAAAACTCTTTAAAATTGCAGATTCATTTCCCCTGAGCATTTGATATTAGGTCAGAATGGGGTCAGTTCCTTGCCATTTTTTCTACCCCATTACCTATTTCCAAAATAATCCACTTTAATTATGAAGTGCCATTTTATTTTTCTGTCAGGACTTTAATTATGAAGTTCCACATTATGTTTGCAAATTTGATTATGAACTTTTAAAATTAGTAGTTTACT